TGCAATAGAGCAATTCATTTTTCCTTTGATATGGTTTGTTATTGAAATGAAACTTTCCCGATAACATCTGGATTTGTTTGCATCGGATTCTACCAAGCAGAGACTAATTTTCAAAAACATAGACCCTATTTTGCTCAGGTGGAAGCGTCAAAACTGAAACCGTTCAAAATACGAAATATGGATAGAAAAATGGCAAAATCTTAGTCTGGAACATGTTGCCAACGGGGTAAAGCAGAAAACTTTCCACACAAAAATCCGAATATTGAATATTCATGATTTCTTTCTTTCAAAACTCGGCTTGTTGCTATCGGCTATTCTATTTCTTGACTTGTGAGCAACATTTGGTTGCTAGTATTGGCCATGCGAAATATCGGAGTGGCGTACCTTTGGTGTAACACCGTATAGTGTTGCATTTGGACCCCCCGTACACCACGTGTTCATCAAATGTTGACCATCGTACAAAATGAACGGTGGAAGAATTTGACCGCTAGCGCTGATAGCGATTAAAGCGGCCTTGTGATCTTCGTCGGATCCACCGTTTGATTCATACACGCGCCGACAGCTTGAATTGACAATCACCCACTTGCCTGACACAAGAAGAAACTCAGATCTGTTTATAGTCCCTTGATCATTTTATTTCACCGTGTGTCTTGTCACTAAACCCGGTCTCGTCTGCATTAAAGATTTCATGAGGTTTATCCACCAATTCGAGCTTGTTCAGAGTAATTTTGAGCAGCTGGAACCATTTTTGTCTCACTTCTTCGGCAAAAGCTTCTGCTCGAGAACGTTCGAGCTTCTCTTGCTTCTTCCAAATCAGATCTTGCCCATGGCGACCAACGAAGTTCCGAAGCCATTTTCTTCCTGGAACTGAAGACGAACCGAGAGTAGATAGATAGTTGCTAGCCAGCTCCAGCGCACGATCGCTGCACAGTTCGAATCCATGATCTGATAAGACTTGGACTACATATACGAAGTGCGTCTCCTGGTCACTTGGCAGGTATGAAGGACGTCCGGCAGATGGTCTTAAAGCTGCACGACGACGACGACGACGTCGAATCGTGCTTGCCAGAACATTGAATTTTTTCGAAGCTCTCTTTGATCCCATACCACTAGCGACAGCATCAGCGAGTTGTTGTAACCCGCACTTTTTGGCCATCACACTATTTATTTTCTCAAAGAAATCTAGAAAGATCCGTATGACTCTTTACATAATGTGGAAGCTCCCTAGGTAGTCACCATAATCAATTCAATCACAGGCAACCGAATGAACTGAACAGCACCTGATCAAATACTCGACGAATGAACAATCAACAAGACAGTGCATGCTCGGACACTAGATGACGCTATAACACCGAAGATGAAACTATATCCTAAGACGTGTAAAATGCATGAGGATTCAGTACGTATTGTACTTGACAAATATCTTCAGGTGAAAAAAAAGCGAATAAAACTCAAGACGCATTGTTTCTTGGCGTCCATTTGAGAAAATGAAAGCTGGTTGTCTTGTCTACAACTTTTGTTCCAGTACCAGGATGCAAGTCCGTACTTGGGGTAGCACCCACAAGTTCGACAAAGTGAAGCAGTCGTTTTCCCAGCCATTTCTGCTTGGAGTGATAGAATTAGGAACACGAAATAGCTGAGGTGATGGAATTAGGAACGTGTTCCTAATTGCATCACCCAGTGCTTCTTTTGTACGAGAAAAATGAGTGGGAAGACCTGACTTGTTTTTGCCGAAACACACATCAACGTGCAGATCTTGATCGAAGGATTCCAATGATACCAAAATCGACTCAATTGGCGGTATTTTCCTTAAGAAAACAAGTTTTGCGCGCGATCGATCGCGTGCTCCAGCCATTTTGGCTGGAGGTGATCGAATTTGGACCACCGTTTCGCTGGGGTGATAAAATTAGGAACAGGGCAGAATCGAAAAAAATCGAGAGTAGCTTGTATTGTCACGCTTGTGGTTCAGTTAGAATTCATCGTATTTTAATGAATGATACACCATTCGATGCAGAAATGTTTGCTCTACTCCAGAAACTAAAAATCAATTTTCTACGACCCGAAATCATGGAGTAATGAAGATTTTACTGAGTTGCTCAAAAAAAGGTGATAGAATTAGGACGCCTGACTTTACTACTGGCGTCCGAAGCTAGTGGTACGAATACAAAAGAAGAACATTTCTTTGTCGACACAAGCTGCAGTTCGGCTGCAAACGCTTGAAGATGCATACAATCCTGGAGTTTCACGAGCTATGCAAAGTTTCTGCTCATAGGTTGAATGCAATTCTACCCAAGACGCGACAAGCAATTGCGCTGACTACATCTGTAAACATCGAATTTTCCAATGAACTGCGCACAAAAATGTATTCAAAAGCGCCGGCTACGACTCTCACATGGACCTTGGACATGAAAATATATAAAGCAGAGTGTGACTCGTGACACGAAGCTATCGCATTTCTGCCGTCACAATATTGACGGAAGAACGAAAAAAGCATTTGAGTGTCGATCACCTCTTTTTTCTTTGGAAGCGTAAGATTTTTTTCGTATATAAGCATGGCATAAAAGAAAGGATGTTTTATCTTTCGAGGCAAAATAGCAGTTATTCGTTTTGGTGCCTTTCATTTGGTCACAACCACGTCATTGTATATATTGAATAGTTGGAACTAAGTGCGCAAAACGCGACAATGTTATAGATCTTTTTTGATATGATCATTTTTGGCGCATTAAAATGTCTTTGATTGCCCAATATATCTCCCTGCTCAAAATAAAGGGGTTTTCGAACTTGGCCAATAAGACTTTCGCCCATGGCGACAGTATAGTACACATTCGCCAATTGGCGAAAATCCAGTTGGCGAAAGTCTTATTGGCCAAGAGCGAGTAAGCCAAAATAAACCGAACACGTAATGTTTTTGGTTAGTTCTTCACAATATTGTTGTTTTGTCACAAATTTTTACTACTTGTATTTAGCTATACAATTTTGAAACTAGTTTGACTATCTAAGTAGTCTGTTCTGAGTAAAATTATAGCTAAATAATAAAAATAAGGTAACTAATGAGAAGCAATAGCATACTTTTGTAAAATACATTACTGAATAATTGAAGTCCATATAATTCACATTACTTTTTACATAGAAAAAGGAAATATGAAAACTCCATATATTATACTTATCGAAAATATTCTAGGAGGTGATAGAATAATTATTCCGTTTATATTATAATAACTTTCTACCGGGTGGGCCAAAACTAAGGAAATACAGAAAAACTTGAATATCTCCATTACGGCTTGAGCAAACGAGCTAATTTTTTTTTATCAATGATAGAAGCATGTTCAAGCTTTATATCCATAAAGACATGTCTAAAGAGACTCTTTGTTAAGTATCACGATTGATCTTAAGAAAAAAATTTTACTTTTTCAAAGGTAGGAAATAAAATAATATAAAGGACCGTGCGAAAGTCACTTTATCGAAAACAAAATTGAATATCTCCATTATAGCTTGAGCAAATGAGCTGATTTTTTATCAATGATAGAAGCATGTTCAAGCTTTATATTCATAAAGACATACCTAGCAAGATCCTTTCTTAAGTGTATTATTCTATTTCCTATCTGCGAAAAAGTAAACTATTTTCTTAAGATCAATCGTGATACTTAACAAAGAGTATCTTTAGGCATGTCTTTATGGACATAAAGCTTGAACATGCTTCTATCATTGATAAAAAATTAGCTCGTTTGCTCAAGCCGTAAGGGAGATATTCAATTTTTTCTGTATTTCCTTACTTTTGGCCCACCCGGTATATTGATCATGTAACGGGTGTCCCGTAAATAATGGCATTGTTCATATTGCTTAGTAAATATCAGCTTCCTTATTCGCTGAAGTGAGTTGCGTTTTTCTCCAAACGACTCTCTGTGCATTTCTCTACAAAACTGTATAAAAAGTTTTACTGGAAAAGGATGCTCTGAGAACGAACGAGACAAAAACTTTGAGGCCCCAAAATAGCATCCTGGAAAAAGACATCTTCCACGTCTCTTGAATTTTACATAATGAAAGCACTTCGAAAGAAACAAACCAAATATACTACTTTGTAGGCCTTCCCAAACTCTATCTTTTAGTCGTATCTTAAATTTTTTCGACACTTCATCGGGGCTGCAAACGAGCATTCTATCTTTCTAGTCTTCCTAATTTTTCCAACTTTTGCAATGTCGCTATTTCGGTGTATTGGAGTTTTTGTCCCGTAGTATCTCAGCATTATATCTTGGAGAAAATCTTTCTATAAAGTTTTATAGTAAATTGCATAGAGAATTTTGTGAAATCAACCCGATGTCTATGGAATGTATAATTGACGGAGATATTTACGGAATACAAAGAGTGCCATTATTTATGGGACACCCGTTATTTTTTTCTATGATGCTTTTTTCAGACTTATTCCGTGACTTTAATTTAAATATTAGAAATACAACTCAATCATATCACTGTGATAATAGAAGGATTTATAAAAATATAAAATTCCATTTATTTTCAATGAGCATATAAGAAATTAAAACCTATCTTGCCGATACCGCGCGCCATCTTTCAACATCGTCTGTGTTGAGGAGGAACAGAAGTAATTATAATGTAGCAAGGTTATTATTGCATGAGTATATGGAATTGTATGCAACAAATCGACTACGGCTCTATCAATATATTGGAAGATAGAAAACGATGTGTTAGATATTGTACTTGCTTATATTTATGATGCCCAAATTGAAACCCTGCCACTGAATCCGATGACAACATCAACACAGAACAAGAGCGACGAGTCCAATAATAATATTAACATTAATCTGAAGAGCAAAGAAGATGATGGTCCGACTCTCCTTGGCAGCTCATCATTCTCATCATCATCACAGTGTGGAGCCCTCAACGGTGAAGATAAATATTTTGCCATCAACTATGAAGGCGGGAAAATGATCGAATATTGCCTGAAATCCAAGAAATGTTTGGCTTATGCTAATATTCAAATCGCAATGGATGCTCCTTTTGATGGGGTCGTTGCTACTCAAGCTATCCGTGCAAAGGGACCCACTGAAAAGCAACTCTTTGGTTACAATCAACAAACATTATTATCTGCCATCAATCAAGTTTTTGATTACATTATTGATGAGTTTCCGCAACCATTCGTTATGATCCAGATTGCCCGAGGAAGATCCTCAGCAGATACACTGCAAGACATTCATTATATCTTAGATAAATTAACTGATTCTGGTTGTAAATATGAAATCAAAACAGGTTATCGATCGTCCGATTATTTCAAGATTCCAAAAGATTCTGAACAAGAATTTGTGTTTGTGAATATCGGCATGTTTGCTCGATTAACCAATGTCCATCAAATGCTACCCGGAACAGCTTGTAATCCAATCACAACTATCGATTTAGATATGAATGACGAACAAAGATTAATAATCTTCAACAAAAGAAATCATGATGATGCCAAAAATATTTTGAATCATTTTTCCTCCCAATTCCAAAATATTATATTGCTCGGAATGACTGATCAAATGCCGTTTGTCACACCGGATCAGTATCCTGCCATTGAAATGCAACGACTTATTCATTTGGTCCTCACATCATAAATGTATGCCAAATATTTTTTCGTCATCTTAAATGTTCATTAAATTAATGAATGTAGTTTCTTTGGTTGGGTTGTTGGGAGTTAAACGCCCTACGCCGTGAGGCATCCCCTGCCCGTGTGTGTTGCGCACAGGGAAACAATGCAATGCCTGTGTTTTTTTTTTGAATTCTTGCTAATTCACCAACCAAATTGTCTGGCGACTCTTTCAAGTTTCGCCATCGAGTTGATGTTGTGAATCTGAACCTCTTATTCACACTGTAGGGTGTGGGTGTGGATGTGGCAGAAGAACTACATTAATCAACACACTCACACCCTCTTTCTGGTATGATTGTTTCTTGTAAAATATGATTATAATAATAACAATGCTGATGACGATAAATACTATACCATAAAAGCTAGTAAATTGTTGAAATGTGAAAAATCAAAAAGAATAATGAGATACAAAAAGAGGTTCATGAACATATTTATTTGTAAAATTTGATGATTGAAATGTTATTAGTACTGTAGAACTAACGCATAGTTCAATTGTTTGTCGAGTAGTGTGACAAGTCGATGAACAATAAGATTTTGTGATGCAGTAAGAAACTAGATCAATAAAAAGAAAATTCTTTATACGACAGTGCGTAAATTGATCAAAAGAGATTCCACGCACAATGAGACAATTATTAAAAAAAACATCAATAATTAAGCAAGTAGGTGTCAACCATGTTTGATGACGATCAACTCGATCCTCATCCTCAAAGTGAATCGGAAACGATAAATACGATGTCATTTGATAAGATATGAACATTTCCATTGTTCTTATTAATATCTATTCATCTCTCTTCTTATATTCACTTTATATCGAGAAATGAAATGTTCAAACGATCACTTTCTGAATAACTAAAACCAAATATGATGATTAAAAATGAACCAATATTCTCACTTTGATTGTTCACTATACACATCCGACTGTTGCTAAGTTGAACTCTTTTGTTTCATTTTATAATCCGCCTTTTATTTCCTTTAGTCGATCATGCAAGCAAAAAAAACATTTTAAGGCTTTTTTTCATTATAATAGAAAGATGAAATACAAAATGACAAACAAATGAAGTTCTCAGAAACTATTTTCATATTGAATATGCAATATTTTAATTATTGCCGTCTTACATAAGTTATTATTTATAGAGAAATTCCGTGTCAAATTTTGATTTTCTTCTTCATCATCGCCATCAACATTATCGATCCAAATTTGAATCATTTTTAAATTTAATGATACAATTAAATTTGTTGTTATAATTGATGATGTCTATTATCAAAAAAAAATTTCACTAAGAAAAAAGTCTAATGATTGTTTTTCGCGTACTGCATATTATCCGCGATTATAATAGTCCTCAAAATGGATCGAATTTATAATTAATTTTTTTAATTTCGATGGACATGGTAATAAATCTGCTATTGATGAATAAAAGCATAATGTTGTTCCTGATGTAATATAATTATTATCATCACAGTTTTCGATGTATATAAGTTATAGACGTGTGTAGAACTAAATAACGTACCTCCAATAATAAGAGTTTCTAGATGGCTTAACAATTTTTCTCTTTGTAATTATTTCTTGAAGCCTATACAGATGTCATCTGTATATGAGAACCTTTCATTTTGACATTCATACTGATATGGTTCAAAATTTAAACGCAAATATATTAATGATTTCATTCTAGATGATATTAAATTATTACATAATTCTAAACGTATAAAAATTCGAATTGTATATATACTATCAATCAGACTTAAATTCTTATTCTTGCATTGTATTTTATTATTTTCTCCTCTCTCATTTGTCGTACGGATTTCATTTAGTAAATTTAATCGTCTTAAACTTTCATATAATGTTGCGGTTGTTTCAAATATTATAGAATATATAGTTTCAACTGCTATATTTGATAATGTTAAAGATTTTAATTGAGAAAATTTATCTTTGAATGAATCATCGTAGTATATTAGATTAAATTTGTATTTATCATGAGCTGTAACTGATAATGAATAGTTTTGAGTTGTTGATATGAATTGATTTAAGTTCAAACAAAAAGTTAAAAATTTTGTATTTGGTACTGAATCTAAGTTCATGTATACTTTTGATTCATATTGAATTAGGTGATTAAAATGTTGATTTAAATTAGAAAATGTCTCGTATAATTCATAGAAATTGAAATATGACAAACGAGTTAATATTAATTCGTTTGGTAATTGTTCGAATTTTGTAACCATTGTTGGAATAAGACAGTATTCGTTACTTACTGAAGAAAGTTTAGATACAATGACGAATAATGAATGATATGGTTTGAAAGAAAAAACAGTATACAACTTTTGACGTGTACTATAATGTACCAATGATGAAAACATTCAAGTCGAATATATTGCCTGACTTTTCGCCCACTTAGAAATGTGATGTCCACTTTTCTTCTTGTTCTTTTCATTATTCTTATTTTCCTTTGTATCAAAGTGATCGCGATAGCAATAGTTCTCTAGTTTGTCCGTTCTTATAACCAATGAAAGAGTTTTATAGTGCGATAAGGATAAATCAATTATGGTTTTTGTAGTTTGTCGTTTTCACCTTATAACTTTTCCGTTTTGAAATGGATGTTAGTATGGGTGTCATTATAGAAAATATCCGCATCCACACCTGCACCTTCAAGTACACTGCACACTTATACATCCATATCCTTCAATTAATATTATGCAAATCTTTTGCTTAAACATTTTTTTGGTTCTAATAGAATTATAGACTAAATCAAGCTTAGACGCTAGTATAGTTAAGTGAAAAATTACGAAATTACTATTATCTATTGGAAAATGAATTCTCTTTTCTGCTTGTATTATTGCCACTGATTTATATTCTGATGCATACGCCAAAGACTTCTACGTCGACATTCGACAATATGTTTTGAATGTATTTTTAAAACAGAAAAATGAAAAAGTTAAATTTTTGGAATAACTGATTTCTGACCAAAGAATACATGAATGAATTGTAAAAGAGTTTTGAATTTTTTATAGGAAGACAACTCAGCAAAAGTTCATAAAATAATATATTAATACTTTACATTTTATATATGAATCAAAATAAATCCAAAGATATAGACATTGGAAAAAGTGTCAACAGAAACAAAACTTGCAACTTCAACAAATTTTTTTGTATTTGTTTGATATTTTCTCAAACATACTAAACTTCAATTGAATGCATGGATGAACTTTACAGTTTCATAAACTCAAATTGAATAGCATCGAAAAAAATACATATGTACAAAATTACGTGTTTACGTTTTCCTGAATTTCAATTTTACTAAATATACAAATGTCTTAGTAGACAAATTTTATAAGAAAAAATAGATCAGACTTTCTTCTTATGAATATGATTACATCACATCTGCTGGTCTTTCATAATTGTATTATATACTTCGTTGCGAATGAACGGAATATGGAGTTGTGCTTTAGTTTTTCACGTACCCCTTTACTCACATTTATTTATCATGCATTCTTCATAGATTGAATCACCTATCGACTTGTGTCTTCCTTCTATTGTATCTCATCGATCTTCTTCATCGATCTCATACTATTCGTATTATACTTTTGCCTCTTCATTCATATCATTTAGATCTAAGTAATTTGTTTTCATCCCTTGATCATTTCATTTATACTATTACTTTTTGTTCTATCATCGATTTATTATATTACTTTCTATAGCTTTCATATTTGATGACAGATATAGTGTGAGATCTTGTTTATCATTAAAATGGCTCTCCTATACTTGAGACCCTAATCCAGCAAATATTATATCACATATTTTTCTAGGTAAATATCATTTTGATGTAAATACTAGATAAATATAACTAATTCTTATATTCATTCAATCCAACTCTAATAAAATGTTAACATACTAGACTTGCTTTCAACTCAAAATTACCATCATTCCCTAAGTACTTTCAAAAAACACCGATTACGTTATATATTTTTCCATGAAATATATAAATATATTGATTGTCATTATTTTATGTTGGTATCTGCGTTTTTGTTATTCTATTTCAACGAATGATGACGTCACTTCAAAAATTCAACAAGTCGAAACGGGGCTTTCTTACGCTATATACATTAACGGAGAATCACCCGTAACATTCACGATTGCTGAGCGGAGGAAACATTAACATGTGCCAGCGGTTAGTATTGCTCTGATACATAATGGAGAGATTGAATGGACGAAAGTCTATGGTTATTTGGGTGCAGATGCAGTAAAAAAAGCTGATGAATTTACCTTGTTTCAAGCAGCCTCCATCAGTAAAGCAGTAGCAGCCATAGCTGCTCTGCAACTAGTGGAACAAAACAAAATAGATTTAGATGAAGATGTGAATACGTATCTAAAAACTTGGAAAATTAAAAACAGTTCCTTCACTGAAAAAAAACCGATTACCTTACGGGGACTTCTTACACATACGGCAGGCTTGACTGTTCCTGGATTCAATGGTTATGCCCAAACAGAAGAATTGCCTACCTTAATTCAAATCCTCAATGGTGAAAAACCAGCTAATTCACCAGCCGTTATTTCAGACTTGGTCCCAGGCAGCGTTTGGCGTTACTCGGGTGGTGGTTATGTTCTCATGCAGCAATTGCTCGAAGATGTAACAGGTTCTGAATTTCCTACGTTAATGCAACGTTCAGTACTTTCTTCCATTGGTATGAATCGTAGTACTTTCGAATTGGCATTGCCATTTTTATGGCCAGAGCAAGCTAGCATTGGTCATGATTCAAGTGGCAAGAAAATATCTGGTAATTGGCATAGATATCCTGAAAGTGCAGCGGCTGGACTATGGACTACACCAACAGACTTGGCCCGATATCTTATTGCAATACAAAAATCTCTACGAGGGGGATCGAAGCAAGTTCTTTCGAAACAGATGACCGAAAAAATGCTTACTAAACATTTGGGTGATTGGGGTTTAGGTCCTGCTTTGTATGGTGATAATGATTCGTTAGTTTTTGGTCACACTGGTGGTAATGAAGGATATAGATGTCTGTCGTTCTCTTATGCTTATTCAGGTGAAGGTGTCGTGATTATGACAAATGGGAATGATGGAATGGACTTGATTATGGAAATAGTAAGAAGTATGGCCAATGCATACAATTGGAACTCTTATAAACCTATAGTGAAAAATGTTGTTACGTTGACGCCTACAAAGTTGGCTATGTTTGCAGGAACATATTTGATGAATCAAGAACAAGTTAGCTTGTTAATCATTGTCAAGAAAAACTATTTAGTGGCGAAACAGCTCTGGAATGGAAAAGACTTTTTTCTTTATCCAGAAGGTGATTTTGATTTCTTTGAGAGAGAAAATGGGTATTCGATTAAATTTGAATCATCAATCGATGGAACTATCACTGGACTTCTATTTCTCGGAGAGAAATGGACTAAGATCTAATCATACATGTTAGAAATCAAAGTCGAAAATGACAAGCATAATAGACTATATAAATACTAAGTACCGCATCATCTCTATGTTCATTCTTTTTTATGCATTTTTTCCAATCAATCGACATAGCGTTGCCACAAGACTATTGGTGTGGGTGTGGGTGTGAGTGGTGTGGGTGCGGGTATGAGTGGTGTGGGTGTGGGTGTGGGAGTGGGTGTGGTGCGGATGGGTGGGTGGGAGTGTGGGTGTAGTGATTCTCTTAACCCACACCCACACCCTCACCCTTTCTAGAAAACATGTACAGGAAAAGAAAAAATAATTGATTTACGTGATAGTACAGGTACTGATGATGTTGATATTTCAACAATTATTAAAGTAACTTCAAATAATAATGAAGAAGATTGATTTATTCAAGGTTTATCAGAAAGAAAATTAAAAGTAAAAAAAGAAAATATTTTTTTATAAATAAAAATTTAATTCATTTTAAGATACCGTCGCGTTAGAAAAACCCATCAGGAAATTATCACATTGGAATCAAATCATTAAAACAATTAATGCCAATTTCTGCTTTTGAGCGACTTTTAGTAATTGAAAGTTTTTTTTTTTCAAAACATTAAATAATAAAAAATTAATAAATTTATTCGATTTGAATTAATTTATAGAAGGAACGTCGTGAAAAAGTATTTGATCCTGACCATCGTCTTGATGAACACATTAATAAATATTCATCACCCAATGAAGTTTGTTTATTCAATTAAATTAAATTTATTCTTTTTTAAAGAGAAAAAAGAATTTCTGATTCTAATTTTAACGAACAAAAACTAATACGAGAAGAATTACAATCATTTGTTGATGCTTTAAGGCCTCCACTCAAAAATTGATCTCAGCCCAGAAACGTTAAAACGAGCTTAAATTTGGAGCATATGTTGGGGCTGAAGTGGGAAGGCTGTGGTAAAATTTCCAGCTCGATATAGTGACGTTTGACAGAGATATGAACCAAACAAGGGCCAAAAATAGCACAATTGGCAAACAAGATTTCTCTGTCCGAGCTCTTTCAATATATTTAATTTTTTTTTGTTTGAAAGAGCATCTCAAGATTCAGGGCACCAAGGGGTTCTTTTTTTTTGTAAATACTTACTTTTCAAGCGAAAAAAGGGCATCACAAATTACATGACTCCAAAAGATCACAAAAATTGGCTATTTTTGTATAGACATATTTTCTTATACAATAATAAAAAGGGTTATTTCAAAAAAAGGACCTTTTGGTGCCCTGCATCTGAATATGCTCTTTCAAAGAAAAAAAATTTAAATATATTGAAAGAGCCCGGACAGAGAAATCTTGCTTGCGCGTTTGAGAAAATATGAACTGAGAAAAAGGGAAAAACATTTTTTGGAAAAACATTTTACGATATTTTAGCATTTGTAGGCACTTTTTCGGTAGATTTGAATAGAATAATTACCAACTGTCCTATATCTTTTAGAGCTATGCACAAATAGCCTTCTTTTGGCGCTTGTTGAGCTTCACTAAATAAATAATTTTATTACGCAGGACAAAAGCATAATGGGCTTACTCGAAAATGTTCTAATAAAATTAACTATGAGCTATCTCAGCCCTCTTTTTATTGTAACAATTGGCGGATTGTTATGATATATGTCGATCACATTAGATCACGTCGCTTTTGATGTTTTTTTATCTTTCTCTTCTTTATTCTTTGTTCTTCTATGCTCATTTTTTTCTGATATTGGGCAGTCTCCTAAACATTGTTAGATGGTGACGTCATTTGCACTTTATCCATTTTTTTCGGTCATTATTCTGACGTCATCGTTTGTACATCATCTTTTTCTTTTCTGTCCTTACCACGACGTCCTGTATATGTATTCCATCTATATCTTCTTTCGTTCTGTTGTCATACTTGAGTGCATATATATATTTATATACGTGTTGGTTTTAAGAATAGTTCAGTATATTGTAAACGCGATAAGATAATACTTCTCTCTGACTAAAAACTAGTTAGTGGTCAACTGCCTTTATAACATATACAGAGAGGCATGCCAGTTTGTTGCTCACTCTATGTTTGTGTGTGGCGTGGGTGTGTGTGGGTGTGGGTGTGGGCGGGTGTGGGTGTAGTTGTGTGTGTTGCTGTGGCTGTGGCTATGGGTCCTTCTTATCTGTTCGTTCACTTCGAAACCCACACCCAAACCCACACACAC